TAAAATCGGACAATACAGTGCGCGTTATGCTTCCGTGTCGTGTCTCTCGTATGTGCATACGCGTTTTGATCCTCGATGCAGATACACAACGTATGACATACCACCTTCGAATGCGCGTAGCCTCTCTCTCCCCCTCGTTGGGTGGATCGTCGATATATTCTCTACACATGCACGCATAATACGCGCACACATTCCACCACTTCTTCACGAGAAGTTCTCTCGTATACTTTCGCAATCTTCACGAAGGAAAGACATGCGCTATCTGGGGGACGTAGGACGTCGTGGTGGCGTAGGCAGAGAGGCAATGTTGGACCCTGTGCTCGTTTCTCCCGAAATGGACACGCCACGATGAGAGGAAAAGTATGCAACGTTTCTGACCGTTTTTGTCCAAGATCCTCCTCTATATGGTCTCTTGCGCTCTTGCGCCATTCGAGAGAGAGAGAGAGGGGGGGGAGGGATAAAGAGAAAGAAGAAGAAGAATAAAGAAAGAAAGAAAGAGAAAGATCCTTCGTTGCCCCCCACCCTCGAGGATCGAATTGGTTCGCGATCCGGGTAGCGAGGATCGCGAATTCATTGGAATTCTTGCCGGTCCAGTGGTCGTAATACCGCGTAAGAATTAATTGTGCGTTGCATTATGCTTGCGGTAGACCGTGAAACATCTACGAGAAGAAACGATCGGGACGTCGTTGCATTTATACTTCTGATTTCATATTGTAATCCGTGGGACTGGCTGTGTGATTAACTGGTTGAATGTTATTTATGATAATGCGAGGATGGAATGCGTATCTTCTAGTGGCGTTCGAACAGGAACAATGGTGGACGTTTGGTTGGCCAATTTTCGTCGTCCAACATCGAAAAATATGAAATACATAGTGGATGAGAAACTTGAGTCTGATACTCCGATTCGTGATTACTTAGTCAGAAATCAAACGAGAGATATCTCTTCCATTCGAAAATTGTAACAATTTTACTTTTTATTTAATAAAAACTCGAGAGATAAAATATAATCTTCGAATCCGAAGAGGCAAGGAGAAAATATCGTTCGACGGTAGAGGTGGCCACGATCTCTATCCGTGGATTTATAAATACGTTTCTTCTACGCGTGACTGTCGATCGAAAAACGACGTAAGAGGATTACAGAAGTGATATAAACGGGAGAGAGAAAGAGAGAGAGAGACAGAGAGAGAGCGAGCGAGCGAGCGTCACGTTTTAAATTCGATTTCTACGAGCAAAGTTGAGCATACATATGCGTGATCACGGATTTCAGAAGACGGTCGGCCGGAATTCTCGCGGAAAATGCGAATTCCTCGCCGTTCGCTCGAGAAATAAGATGTACGAGTAAGATTTTTCTTTTCCTTTTTTTTTTTTTTCACGAAAAAACCGCTCCTCTCGGAGACATCGAATGATATATTGTGTCCAACAGAGAAGAATTTTTTTCCTTTCGTGGTCTTGTTTCGCATCGCGTCACGTGATCAAATATTTGACGAAGCGAATTACGATTCATTCATTCATTCGCAGTAACGAATGTCACGTTATTTATAAAATTGTAATAAAAGTGTAATAAAATATTTACAAAAAGCGTAATTTTTACTCATTTCATATCCATATTCATCTCTTTCAGGATTTTTTACGTTTTCCTCATTTGAATTTTTCAATGAATCTCACGCGACTTTTTTTTTAATCTTCCAGCGATGGATATAATACCATTGGAGAAGCGCGAAGGAGAAAGCGAGCAAGTCCTCCAATATACAAATTTTCGAACATCCAAATCTTTAGAGACGATAATCCTCGATTATCAGAGTACTTATATATCCACGATTCCATGTTTCGTCCATTCCCCATTCCAATAATTAATCCACGGGAGACATTATCATTGCCTCGAAATCGGGCCTCGAAATAACGTGTTAAAATTACTCTCAAATAAATCTCGCAATTTAACGATCGTGAAGCATTGCCAAGTGGCGATAGTACGATTTTACGATGATCCATCTTTATGGCTATCCTATTCTTCGTCACGATATAACCCATAACAGGGCGTGCAGGCATGCGCCAGGCGCATAAACCGGCGACGAAACCCGGCGTAAAATAATCGTACAACGATCCTTAAAACTCATCATGGATCGCAACGATCCACACGTTCCCGGTCTCCAACACAATTCGACACAATAGGATAATTCTCATAAATATTGAAGCGGCGTTGCGTTTGATTCGATGGGCGCGAGGCCGCGTAGCACGCTTTAATAAGGCCACCTACTATTACTGTATCGTATATATATACATATATATATATATATATATATATATATATATATATATACACCTCGATCGTGTGTGTGTATCGGTGAAAGAGGCGCCTTAAAGATTCTTGACAAGCGTCGGTACAAGCGTTTGCAATTAATTCGCCGATGCTCACCTCGACAGCCGGCCAGTCCGCCATTAAAATTCCCCGCGAGCTTGCGCAACTTGCTTTCGAATCTCCAAGCTTTTCAGAGCATATCCGCCGATTTCGATAACATTCGCGTGTGTATCCACCCTTTTTTTCGATTCCTCGTTTCTTTCCTCTCTCTCTCTCTCTCTCTATATATATATATATCTTTCTCTCTCTCTCGTCGGTGACACGTGCGTAATTGTGCGTACGTAAAAAACGGATCCTCGGGAAGAGGGCAAAGAGTAAAAAGTTGTATTTATAATACGGACCGGACTCGAACGAGCCGAGTCGTATCTACGATTTACGCGGCAGATAGCCCCGTATGAGGCAAGGCCAGTTTCCTGTTAAATAGATTTTTTAATTAAGTAAAAGTTCGGTCCGCGGGGAGTGGATGTATGCGCGCGCGCGTGTGCATCATTGTTTCGCGGTGTGTAAGTGTTCGCCCACTGCATACTGGGTGATCTAAAGTCAGATCGGATTAAACCGAGTATAGATACATGTGGGTTTTTTTTTTCGTATTCCTCGAAATAAAATAATCCTTGATAGGGGATTTAATTTTGGAAAAGAATTGGAAAGGAAGAAAACTTTAGAAAGAGGAGTTTATTGCAGGAATATTTTTAATCAAAAATTGCGATGGTTAATTGCAATCGCTCTACGGGGAGGAAGGAGAAGTCTGTAAGAAGCGATCAAATATTTCGTGAAATCAACTCGTGCATTATTCATAACTATGAAAGTTCCCAGGGGATCACGTATAAAGACAAAACGATCGTTTCGAATATCGTCTCTGAACGTTCCCCATTACTCATCCCCTCGGTATTTGCACAAGCGTGTGGCAAAAACGTCTCCACGTATATTCCCATTCAATTCGCGCATAAATAAACACACACTGTTCGTTTAACCAGCTCTTTTATCCGGCACGCGTAATTGTGCAATTCACGCATTCGATATCCGCGTGCGTCGATTCACGCACACGCACAATGCCCCGTGGCGCATTCCATGTTTGCAATAGGCAGATCCGAGGGTCCTGCTTGCCATTTCGACGCACAATATATTTTCGACTTAGAGAGACGGAGAGAGAGAGAGAGAGAGAGAGAGAGAGAGAGAGAGAGAGAGAGAGAGACCAAAGGTATCTCGGCCCTCCCGCTGGACACATTCCGAGTACCGAGTTCGCGGGAACGGGCGAAGCCTGGCCGCGTGTAGCCGATAGCCAAGCGGTTTATCTGAATTTTTTCTTTTCAAGATTAGCCGAAAACCACGTGGGGAACAACGGCGTACACTAACTTGTTCGAAAAAGTTAGCAATTACCCCCGTACTCGGAAGAAAATTCGAAAAAGACGAAAGAAGAAGTAGCTTAGAGAATATTTGGTTACGTGAGATATTAAGAAATTAGAAAATGATTTGATACAGTTCCTTTTCTCTGGATCCTATAACGAGGATCACGAGTAGATTTATAATTCAACTCGACCTATTGTGATCCATAATGATGAATAAATGATAATTCTTAGTATTTAACATTCGAGGAATACATAGTTATTTTTATTCCTCGAACGGAGTAGTAGAATGCTAGTTTCGTCGCTATCTATTAAAACTTGATCTTGGATATATAGGTGTATAAGTGAAAAAGTGATTGCAAACTTTTGATCGGTATTACCATGGTGGTTTTACCATACATACGTGCCGATAGATTACCGTATCATATCGTATTACGTGGTTAGCGAATTCCTGAGCGATCCGCTTTTTCCTAGAAGACGATAATACTACGTTTCGAGTACCGTTTCATCTTACGATCCTTCTAATCCGCCTCTACTATATACGAATAGAATTAGAACCAGGGAATGAACGAATTTCGCGATGAATTATTTGATTCTTGTATCGTGGATACATTCGATACGACGACGACCATGCTTCGATTTTTGGTTTTCTATTTTTTTCTTTTATTTTTCCCCCATTTTGATCGTCTTTCGTTTAACGTTCGATCGTTGGGATGGGACAACGATTTAGATGCGGCAAGGAAGTGTATTTGCGCGAGATGAATGAGTCAGCTGGAGACGAGAGGTGGTCGATCGTGGCGATTTATTGCCGGGTACGCGCGTTTACATGATGTATCCTGAGTTATATCCCGAGTAAGATAAAGAACAGTCATCTTCCGTCTCCTCTCGATTCGAAGATCATTTTTAAACTATTGGGTTTATTTGTTCGCAACAAAGATCTCGTATCGCAGATCTTTAGCTCTCTTGACTCTTGAGTAAACAGGTAATACCGCCTGTGCACCGATAGATATCTATAATCTACTTATTTCGCGATGGAAATATTTGAATTAATTACGCGAACGGCTAATTAATAATTTACGAGAACAAGATTATCGTCACTGCATATCAACGACTCATTTAGATAAATTATCATTGAAACTACCTCTCCAAGATTCCTTTGATCGTCGATCAATAATATATAGTCCCAAGTTAGAAATATTCTATACGTATATATGTACGTATTTATACGTAACGAGTAATTATTTGTCACGATTTATGGATGCAAAGTAAATGGGAAAATTTTGTAACGGTGTCAAACTTACCTGGCTGACACGAAGCGCCACCAGGACCAAGCACAGTACCGACACAAGCGCACTGGTGAACGCGTGAAAATTGGTCCTTCCCACTGTCATTTTGGCGGTGTGAACGTGCCACACTGAACGATCGATTGTGAAACGTGTCACGTTATTGCCAAGCCTCTCCTATCTGTCAGTCTCACGTCACATTTTCGTTATTTCCCGAGAACAATCTCATCGTATCGCGGGAATCGATCGAATATATCGACGTTACAGGGCGGCCACGCGGTTTCCTTTCCCGTAGTAAAGACAGGACAGGGAACGTGGATATATAAACGCGTGGATAGCGAAACAGTGGATCTCGTGGATATCGTGGACTCGAAAACTCGATGCCTCGTTCAAGAGAACTGGAAGCGAATGTTATACTGGCGCAATAATGACTGTTCCTCCTGAGCTGCCCCCAGGGACGCTCAGGTGTTCGGTGTTTTTGGTGGGGATAGAAGCGGCCATTCCCTTTTCATCCGATGTTGTATGCGATCCACGCATTCATGTCTCCGAATCCGGCGATGAGCCACGTGTGTTTCTCGTAATTCCTACACGAGGTCAGCACTGTGCACGGTACTCGTTGTTCACGTAGGGATCCGCCTTATCGACGCGGCTGGGGAATTCGAGAACGTTCCTCGAAACGCTCCGAACTTTTGGAACTAGAACGTTTCTCACTAGACAATTTACAATTTTTTAGAGATTAATTGGAGGCATTTTTCTGTTTCAACCACGTTGAAACAAAGCGATGTCGATGGGAGAGGGAATTGCAAACGTTTGAAATTTAAATAAATTGAACAAATTGGTGGTTGCTTCTTAAGAGAAGCTTTAAATAATCGGATGCAGATATCGACTCGAAAAACGGTTCATCCGCTTTAAAACTTGAATTTTGGTGGTTCGAGAACGAAGGAATACTTTTATCTCGAATTATTTGCATGCACGAAAAATGAATGTCTGCCCGGCAAACAATTCAATAGATATTGATTGAACGAAGATTGCAGGAATTACAGGACTGTCGTTAGTCATGATGCTCGCGACGCTATTGTCGTGGAACCTCTCAAGTTGTCACAATGAGAACAAAGGCGAATATCGAAGACAATAGGATAGCTTATAAGATCATTCATGGACGACGTGAAAACCATTCAAGATCTCGATGCATCGATATCTTTATCGCTTCGATAGTACGAATGTATATACGTGATCGCATCTTGCGTATCTATATACCGCTATATAATCGTACCCTTCAATTTTCTTCCTAATTCGAAAATTCCTAATCGATTCCTATAGATATTACAGAAACAGTTTTTTCTTCATTCTTCATAAAATACAATCGTGAAAATAAAAAGAAAAAAGAAAAAATCACGTACAACTGAAATTACCCTCGAGCCATTTTTCCAACGTGTTAACACCGGTTTCACGAGTGGTCGTTTAATTGGTCTGCAAGGAAAACTCTTGGCACGCAAAAAGAAATAAAACGTCAACGCGTCAAAGAACAAGAGTCCCCTCGTGATTCGCATTTCCTTACGTAACAAGGCTAGACATACACAGACACACGAGGAAGCGTAGTGATAATCTTAATGAAAATCCCCCACGTTCGTGCCTCCTTTGATAGTTTTCACCCCGGGAAAATGTTTGTGACCCACTTTCCCACAGAAAACGGCTCTAATGCCGTTTTACCTGGGGTACAGAAAGGTAGAGTGGAAAAAAAAGAGGCGGAAACGGAGGAGAGAGAAAAAGAGAGAACCGTCTTCTAGTTGAATACCGTCTCGCGCCGTATACTACCACGCAAATGTATACAACGTATATATCAATTTTATTGCAAGAATTTCAAACAGAAACGCAGAGATCAAGGGATCATATAAAAATTTTTATATGTCCTTACAAAATTCGTTTCCAAGATTCCACGAGTTGTAACTGCTACCTAACCACACACACACATATCACGAACAATAGAGAAAACTCTCTATCCCGAATCCGTTTCAAAAATGTACGATCTCTCCGTAAGATCGTACAAAAGCTCGAGAATAAATGCAACGACGAGGAATCACGAATAACTGGGTCGCTGCATTAATTCTTTTATCCAGGCCGACTTATCCGTGGAGAATGGCGGTCGAGTGGCGAGCACCGAGAAGAATCAACATCATCCATCCGGCACACTCTCTCTATAATTATCGCGATATCGAGGAGAGAAAAAGCGAGAAGAGGAATTTCGAGTTGCAAAGAGATAATATTATACCAGTTCGGGTATATACACGGGTTCCAACTTTCAATCTCATTACGAGTTTTCTCCAATTTTATATAATATTTTGAAAAGAGCCGCTGCACGGAGGCGCGTCGAGAGTGAAAAAAAAGAAAGAAAGAAAGAAAAAGAAATCAGAGGCGCATGCATCGATGCAAACGCGCAATCCACGTTTACCAATGAGCGGGCTGACGTTTCGTCTTCGGTTCGGCCAGCAGGTGGAGCGTGTTTGATGTGAATCGAACACCGTCACCCTGTACAAACACCGGGGACCGGGCAGCATATAGGGGCTCGTCCTTTTTTTCCCCGTCGTCGTCGTTAGCTCGCGAGACTGGGTGAGGAGGGGGTGATAAGGAGGACGCAAGCGCGGACCTATCGACCAGCTAACCCTCCGGGTAACACCCTCGCGATCCTCGGCCGAGGCTCACTGCTTCACCGGCAAACTAGTAGGTAGTACACGCACGCGACACAGGTGAGTACCACAAGCTTCTTCAGACCTTGCCTTAAAAGTGTAATCTAACAGAGAAAGTTGAGGGTAGGGTTGACGATTGAAAAAAAAATCGGTTTCCGTTGGGAAAGGAGGTTGGTCGAAGGTCAAGTGCGAGCGTGATTTATGGATTCCCTTTTGCGATCAATTTCTTCTTTCCCTCCTCTTCTTCTTCTTCCTCCTTTTTTTTCTTTTTTTTTTTTTCGTTTCGTAGATGACTATTTCGATAACTCGAACCCCTAAGTGGAATTCAATAGAAAATGTTGAGGGTAGGCAAAGATTGGAAAAGATTGGTTTTCGTTGGAGAAGGGCGAGTGAATTGGTTTATCGAGTTTTTTTTCTTTTTTTCCTTTTTTTTTTTTTTTTGTAATCGTCGATAATTTGACCGTTGAAGTGTAATCCAAGATGAAATGTCGAAAGAATTTCGGTTTTCGGTTGAACAAGGATTGCATCATGTGACTAGATTTGGATTTCTTTTATGATCAATTAACTCTCTTTTGGAACTTCGTCCAACTGTCTATATAGTTCAACTCGACTATATAAAATCGTGGATTAGCTGGAACGGTCACTGGAAGATTGAAAGAAATGGGAAATTGATTTTTTTAGATGTTTGTCTCTCCTTTGGGTATTATCGTACGGTTTCAGTGGATAGTTGATACGGTATATTCGTTTATCAAACAAACGTGAAAGACACATGATACTCGAGGAGTTTCTCAATAATAGAGATTCGTATGAGATAACTAGGTGTTTTGTGGCGAGACGAAGATATTCTTGATCCGATGATTATTACAGTGACTGGTTCTTTCTTTGCAAGTATATTATTATTCAAGTTGATATTGAATTTAAATTTACGCGGGAGCTTATAAACTACTACGTTGATCGATGAATACGAGATACCAATTTGTATAAACGATACGACTATTCTTCTGAGGATAAGTGATTATTTTCACGCGATATTTCGACGGTTGCGTGTTTCTATTTTTCTTTTTCACCTATCAATTTGCTTCAATTTTTTGATATTGTTTGTATCATTAATTAATTACAGAAAGTTCCGCTGAAAGCTTTTTTTTTGATTTTGATAAATGATACAATTGTTTAAATTTAACTATTTTTAGATAACAAATGTATAAAGTCGTAGTGAAATTTATTAAAATCATATATCGTGATTTCATACTCGAATATATTTTAATGATTTGATTAAAGTACTACGCCCATTTTATTCGATTAAGATATCTTTGGATTAGAACGAATAATAAAATAAATAAATATTTATCAATATTTTGAATGAAATATTCGAATAATATACGTGTCTCTGGTTTCTTTCAATTTTTATAGAAAGTGCACGTTTCTATGTGCGCAGCTTTCAGCGGTCAATGCGCCTGCCCTTTCCTAATACCTAGGGACTCTTCCATCATCGATTATTACTAGAGTCTAAGCTAAAATCCCTAGAGATAACATGAACCGTGTAGATCCATACAAATATAATCACGCGAAACGTAGCTATATACGTACACGTTTACACGTTTAATCGAAAATTACTTTTTAAAAATTACTATTACAAGATGAAAATTTCTCGCGGGAAATTATGAAATTATTCGATGCGCGTTATATATCCGAATACATAGAAGTTTGCACAGTCAATATTTGAACAAGAGGGTGCGTCACAAAATTTATCGATTCGAAACTTTCTATCATTTCAACCCTCTCTCGACTCGATACTCAATATCAATTTAGAAAATTGTTATTCCACCGACGAAGCAAAATTAGAAACAATTACCAAGTTTGGTAATTAATTAATCAAGAAGGGTAAAAAAAAAAAAAACAAATTAAATTCCTCGTTGAGTGTTACGAGGTAAAAAAAAAAATAAAAAAGAAAAAAAAGAAGAAAAAATAGAAAGCTCGTGAAGTCGTATGGAGATTCGAAGGGATTACTAAGAAATTCGTCGAAGCTAATTTAAAATTCAATTAGGACTAGGATATCTCGAGCATTAATTGAATTCAGACAGTTAGCCAAGTAGTCATGAGCACCGGGGCAAACTTTGCTGGTTTAAAGTTTTCTAGCCATTCTGATTACAGGATGCTTTCACGTAGAAAGCGATTGCTGGAAAGTTTCAAAGAAATCACGAAACTTTTCTCCATCTTTCTTTCTCAACTTTCCCCTTTCTTCCGTCTTATACAATTCTTCTCCCCCTCTATTCTTCCGTCATTTAACAAGTCACGGAATAATCGTGTCGCGTTTCTTCAACGACACCAGGGATTAATTATTCCAAGAAAAGTTTCAGAAAAAGTCTGCGACGAGACAGCAGAGGCACCATTTTTTATCATCTATTTTATATTATTTCGTGCGAATCGACGGACTCCATTTCCTGCTACTCCCCTTCGCCAACAGAGTTTTTTTATTGAAGATAATCGGTCTCGTTATCAACCGCGTTTCCTATCGCGATCCGATATTGAAGTTTTAAAATCACGGTTGGAAAGGAGGGGAGGGATGGATGAGGCGAAACACTCGTGTAAAAAAATTCTTCAGCGCGTAAAGTCACGCTGCGTCGTATCGATCAGCGGAATATCAAGCTCTACTTTTGCTGTGCTAAATTTCTGCGAGGTGCTCTCCTCCATCTCGCGCGCGCCTCCATTCTGCTCGCGTGGACGTTTTTATCGCGGATCTCGCTTAAGCTCGCTTGTTCCTTATTGAGAACGTGTGTTACATACGTTTAATTATAGCGATACTTCAGCGTGTAAAAAAAAAATAAATAAATAAAATAACGGAGAGAATTTATCTTCCTTTTTTTTTTTTTTTTTTTTTTTTTTATACGTTGGATTTTATCGTTCAAAAGTTTATTATGGACAGAATTTATTTCGAAATGATTTATTTTTCGCGATTGGTTAATAAGGGAATTATATGTCCAATTACGATATAAAAGAAGATTTTTGTAAAAACGATAAGATTCTATCAATATTAAATTCATCGGTGATGTAAGAAGTATATACAGCTTGAATTCTATTATCTTCATAAAGAGAAGATAAATATCGTTTCTTATTACCAATTTATTGTCAATTCATTGTACATTACTAAAATTTAAATCATCGAATCCAGATAATTTTATACTTTCATATATATTCTTTCGAACAATATACAAATCACCGATGAAAAGAAAAAAAAAGAAAGGAAGAAAGAAAGAAAAAGAAGAAGACACTTTTGTCCCTAGAGATGATAATAAATAATTATATCTCCACGTAGCGAGACTTTTATCTCACGCTTTTACGTAATCAGCGCATCATAAGCCGCTATATATAAAGACTAATATATATATATATATATATACCTGCAAAGTTTCAGCCAACTTTTAACAAAAACATCACCACCCTACGAATAAATAAACGCCTCTTTATAAATAAACGTTTCATTCAACGATTTCGCGATTAATTAATCATTGACCATCTCTCGTCATATCTCTCTTTCTCTTTCTCTCTCTCTCTCTTTCTTTCTCTCTACCTGTCTTCCCTTTTTACAGATTTCAACTTGGATTGTTTAGTTTCTCCTTCCTCACCTCTCTTATTTCATCCTTTCCTTTCGGATTACCTTACGTTCAACTGTTATTCCACAAACTCGGCAAGGGAACGCAACATCTCGTTCGAACATCGTCGAGCGAACAGATCACAACGAGACGACGTCCTCTTTCCGGTAATCCGCCGCGTTTTCGAGAAAGTGACAGACAGGAGGAGAGCGTACCGCGCCCGCACACCGAACACACCGACAAAGCGGAATTCTGCGGTTTTCGCGAGGAGGACGAGGTCGGTGTTAAACCAGCAAGATTACCGGCCGCGGCGGTTGCGCCAAATACTGTGGTACAGCTACTTCACCCGGCAACATTTCATTCTCCAGCTTTCGACAGTCCTTCACCTCCAATGTTAACTACCTGAAACGGAGGTGAGTGCCTGACGCCTGTGCGCGCGCGCCCGCCCGTGTATGCGGACGCCTGTCCACCTATTTCACTGTCTATTTGCATGCCCGATAATAGTTTGCTCGATGGAATTTCTCTCGTACTTTCCCCTCTGCGCTCAAGAGATTCGAAGAATTCGGAAGCGATGCCGGAAGAATCACGCCAAGAGATTTCTATTTGCTCGTTGAATATATTTTTTTTCCTTTTTTTTAGAATAACGATACAGATTTTGTCTCGATCTTGTCACGATTTCTTAAGGTTTTTAACGGTAGATATTTTATTATTTATGAAATTCGTGTTTTTGTATTCGTTCCTTTAAAAAAAACGAGGTGTTCAATTTGGAAAAGTTAAAAAAAGAAAATAATATTCTTCGACTCGTTGAAGAATCGTTGGACGTGTTTCGAGCGAAACACGTTCAATTTCGCTCGGTGAAGAGAATTGTCACTTTGTTTCTCACGTTTTGGAGCGTTTTAGAATGTGTCCATAATGGTACGCGGAGATGCATAGAGTGAGATACGAGACAAAAGAGTATGGGTCGTTGCACGATGGATGCTTGTGGACGAGCACGTTTGTCCCAGCCTTTTCATCGAATTCGAGGACAGAGTCGCATAATATGGCAGCGTAAAACAACACCTTTATCCGCATACGAATCACATTGGCCTTCTACCGTGTGTGTCCACACGTATCTGGAACAACGGATACATCTCGTATCGTGATCTCTTTCGCCGTTGTAAATTGCACATTCCGGCTCGCTCCTATTTATATCCTATTTATCCATTCCACTATAATTAACATCGATATTCGAGTCTGTGGAGATCCGAGCGACAGGTCGATAATTCCTCCAACAAGCACACCACCGTGCCATTATTTAATCAAAGCACAATTAAGTTCAATTAAAAAAAATTCAACAATCTCCACGTCTCTCCACGTGCATGCACTCCCATCAATCTCGATCCATGCACGCAAATCGGCATGGCGAGAAAGTGCTTTGGCAAACGTGCAAACCCACGCTTCAAGCGTTCCCCCCCCCCCCTACGTATCCATCTGTCTACCTTGCTTCCATTCCTATTGCACCTAAATTTTATACCGCTGTGAAAGATATTATTTTTGTATTATAATTACAGTTCACAATTGAAGTGAAACCCGTGTAACGATCTGTCCAATATTTACCAATTACACTCAAGCTTACCAAATGTCGCATTCCATGCCTTACGAGCCCATAGGTACGAGCCACCGGAACCCGGCTATCGAGTACCTGTCACCCGATCGTCTGCCGAGACCGTCACACGTCTGCCTCCCACCTTGTCGCAAAGCACACGAGCGATCGTCGAGCCACATTTCACGCGAGGCACCGCAACCGACGTGTCCATCTTCTAATAAGACACCGAGACTGGCGAGCTGCCGCGCTCATCGCAACGCCATCAAAATAACGCCATGCCATCCCCGTGTCACGCATGCAAACCGGCAATCAGCAATCGTCAATCATCGCGCCATCTTTAATGCCATTATTAAAAAAAAAAAATATATATATATATAATACACCCGAGCACTTGGCTGTTCGATGTGCATATCATGAAAACAGACTCGTATGAAAAAAAAAAAATATATATATATATAAAAAGAATGCTAAAAAAAAGCGTGAAATCCCTGGACGAACGGACCGATTGCCACTATCACGACCACGACCATAGTTTGTCTTCCAGGTTCTCGTCAGGGGATTTGAGCTCGGAGCTCGACGATGAACCAAGCACAGACTCCGGGCTGGCCTCCATGGCCAGGGATTCGTCGTCCCAATCGTATCAAGCGGTGCCCGAACGCCCGTTGCAGTCCCAACCTACGCCGGTTCCGCCGGCCAGCCAGCCGCCCGTGCCCGGGGCACCGCCGCCCGGAGCCCCACAACCCGTCGGCGGCGATCTCAGTCTCAACCTGAGACCCGGCTCCAGAACCACCAGTGCTCCATCCTCGCCTGCCAAGACCAGGGAAAGTTTGCTCCAGAGGGTTCAGAGCTTGACAGGGGCTGCTCGCGATCAGGTGGGTTGAATCGGTTTTCAACGATCAATTGATTGATGGTGAGGTGAGGTAGAGGTAGAGGGAGGAACCGAGGGTGCTGCAACAGTGATACTTGGTGTTATTTTAAATATGACAAATTTTGGAGAATATTAAAGGGTATAAGGAATATACTTTTGAATTTATTTTTTTTATAATCCTCTAAAATCTTCTAAAAGGTGTATATTTAGGTTACAAATCGTAGGTTGTTAAATAATTCGTATTACGTATTTTGATTTTAAAAACGAAAGAATATTTGCTGCTAAATGCTTAACGTTCATACGCGATAAACATTTTCTTTTTATGTAATTGTAAAAAGAAACGTGTTTGAGTCGGCGACGATCGTTTCGCGATAGAGATTTAAGAGAAGAGGTTTTTACTGAATAAATATTCCGAATATGTTTAGTTTAACGAAAGTGAATCTGTAAAGTATCATCGGGATGAGAAAGGTCAAGTTATCTTAGAAATTTCATTTCGATTTCCAGAGAGCATGAGCGGACAAGCACGATTGCGCTTCCGTGAAATTCCATCTTCGAGTTTAATTTCCCCAAGGTGTATATAATAATAATAATGTATAAATTGTTCCATCATTTTCGAACGATCAGATTGCATTTCCACATAGGTATCGTGCGGCGCAAGATCGACACGAGTCAAGATTTGGATCCAAAATTGCCTCGTTGCATGTTGGACGCGATACACGATCTTTTTTCAATGTTCTTCGAAGAAATGTGCGAGCTTTCGCGTGCTCGAAATACCATCAATCTTTTCGACGTTCATTATCCTATTAAACGTTTGAACCTTGTAATAAAAATTATGAAAAAAAAAAAGTGATTGAAATCGTTGGATAAATTTTCTTTGTTACGAAATATATAAGAAGAATTATATCGTACCAATTTTGATTATTATTATCAGGGTGCATCGATTCTGGGAGCGGCAGTGTCAGGTGCGACCAGAGGGCCCTCTTACAACAAAGATCGATGCTTCACGTTGCTGGTCATAGACGACCAAAACACCGACTGGAGCAAATATTTCCGGGGTCGTAGGCTTCACGGTGATTACGAGATCCGCGTCGAGCAGGCGGAATTTCGGGAATTGTCGTTGACGGCCAGCGAGACTGGCACCGTTGTGTCCATGGCGGTTTATCGTAACGGGACCAAAGTCATCCGGTAAGATTAATTGATATTTCGATCGATCGAATTCTCTTCCTTTTCTCGAAAAGACGGCAACAAAATGTTCATCGTTCGTCAAAATACATAATCGTCAAGTATGATATTATAGCGTAATGTAATTTCATATAATTGATATGATCAGAGAGTTTTTATCTCATCTTGATATTCTTTGCTCTTTCCTAGAAAGAAAATAGAATCTTAGAAATTAGAATTTTCTTGCTCCATAAATTTCTGAATATTTTTAAGGAAAATAATTTTTGCCCACAGATCCTTCAAGCCCGATTTCGTTCTGATACGACAAAACCTAAAGGACGCGGGAGAAGATTACAAGAATCTTCTTCTCGGTTTGATGTACGGCGGTGTGCCGAGCGTTAACAATCTCACGGCAATTTACAACTTTCAGGTATGAAGTTCGTCCAATTAAAGAAAAGCGGGCAAGAGTCATTCTGAATGGAAGGAACGATTAAAACTTGAACGATCAACTTTCCACTTCTAGGAAACGGATTTTCTTAATTACGTTTATCCGCGTTTCAGGATAAACCTTGGGTGTTCGCGCATCTTCTGGGACTTCAACGTCGTTTAGGAAAGGATAACTTCCCGTTGATAGAGCAAACTTACTATCCCAACCATCGCGAAATGGTGAGTTAAATAAAATATTCACATCATCCTGAAAGTTCACGTAGAAGGGGAAGATTATTATTATTATTATTATTATACGTTTCTCGTTTTATTTTTTTTTTCCCATTTCTCGTTTCAAATATTATAATACTTACAAAAGTTATCAAATGGAAGAACTAATAAAAGACTAAGAACATACATCGTTCGGTGTTACGTCCTCAAGCTAGGAAAATCCAGGCTAATTCTTCCGCCGTGTCGCGCGCTTTTACCACTTTTGTACTAAAGTTCTAAACCCACGTGAAGGGGGTCGTCTACGTTCTCTTGTCCCCATCAGGCAAGAAACAATATAACGATCGTGCTCGGATACATAAGGTTAGAGAAACCCAACTTGATTTGTAACATTTCTAATAACGACGCTTAGCATCTTTGTGCTATCCTTCGAATAACGAGATAACATAATCTGAGATAACATGAAATAAATCTGGACTTTCTCCGTTTCTTTCAAGGAATTATGTTCCTTCTTTTAAATAAAATTTATCTTTTTTTCTTTTTTCTCTTTTTTTTTTAGAAAACATAGATTACGTTATTTCAATATTCACTGACCTATACAAGGATTCGCTAAAAATTAAATACTTTCTAGCAGCTTCTTATATATATAAAAAAGGAAAAAAAAAAAGAGCAAAGCTACGTACAACGAGATGAAAGTGAGAATAATTTAAAAATGTATAATATACATCAATAGCCTAATATGTACAACTAAAAAAAGAGATGGCCAATCTTTTGTTATTACTTGCTTATTTCAGATTTCGAAACGAAACTCAGTCGAGGTTGCTGTGAAAATCAATTAAACGAAGCGTTGTTACTTAAAAAAAAAAAAAAAAAAAAAAAAAAAATCGTTTGTAAATGTAAATCTTCCTTAACGCCGATTAAATAAACGTCGAATACATTATTAACGACGTTTATTATTCAGATGTGAAAAGAGGTCAACGAAATAAATAATTATTAACGAGGAATCCACAATGATACAAAAATGCGATGCAACAAACCTCGAAACGTAGTAACGAAGTAAAAATTCTCATGAAAATGCAAGCAGTCTCAAGAGTCGGTACGATTCACGTAGTGCCCTTGAACAACGGCTTCCGGGTTGGCTGCGTATAATTTTCAATCATTCCGCTGCTTCGCTGTTTAATTAACGAACAATTCTTTTTTTTTTTTTTTGTACTCGTCCACACAACGTTCACCCGGTTAATAATACTTCTGATAGAACAATAAATAGAGCATGGCGCGATGCTGAAATGAAAAACGCCACGTTATTGAGAAATTAATGCCAACGTCTTCGAATCGTTACAATTTGACTTGCAAAGTTTTCGAGTTACTTGATTGAAAGCATATTCAGAAGCATTTGATTAATAATACAAGTCGCACAATTGTTCAAGAATCTCTTTATACTCTTTATACTCTTTCAATTGACAATTAAAAAACCATTACTGAATAGTTAGTCAATCGAGAGTTTAAAGAGTAAAAAAAGATTTTTAAATTTACATATAATTTTCAATCAAAACGTTGACTTTCATCGATCGAACGCTTCTGAATTCTTCTGAATTGTTACAAATGTTTCTTCGATCACTATCGTCGATTAATCGACTTAAATAAATATATAAAAGAATTAGCATTAATTTACCACGCACAGCGACGAGTTTGCTGCGTGTTGATACTCTCTCTATCTCTCTACGTTACCAACGATATAAACAAAAATTCTTCCAGGAATCTCGCGAAATTTTACAAATAGATCGTAAATCGAAACGTGTTACGTGTACGAACAACGTCGATTTCTCTCTCTTTCTCTCTCTCTCTCTCTCTCTCTCTCTCTCTCTCTCTCTCTCTCTCTCTCTCTCTCTCTCTCTCTCTCTCTCTCTCTCTCTCTCTCTCCCTTTCGCCATCGTGATCAATCAATCTTTCATTCAACCACAGACTACTTTCGTATTGAATCGAAACGGAAGAATATATTAAGGTTCTCGCGCTCTTTTCTGCTCGCGTTCCAGCTGATACTTCTTGATGCAGTTTTTGTAAGGCACCGAGGGTGTCCAATAGCATCCAGATTCTCTGTACATGCAGATGCCGAAATCTTTTTGACACTCCTCGGGACCTGGCCTGCTCTCCCACAGGCATTCCGTGCCGTCTGTGTTCTCCAAAGTTATACCTTTGATCCACCAAGGTGTGTAACGAACCTAAAATAAAAAAAAAAAAAAACAAAATGAACGTAGGTTAAAACAAGAAAGATGATGAGTAATTCTGAATTATCACGTAAAATAAATTACCCCTTCTACTGATAGATTCAGAACATTTTGAACATTGTTGAGAATTCCATTAGAGATGGGACGAGCTTTATTCAAAGGGAAACAATCATAGAGGAAACTTTTGCACAGCTCAATGCATTCTACTCGTATTATTACAAAGTGTCGCTCGAAATTCAACGCTTGGACATATTTATTTCACTTTTTTAAATAAGCGAAATGTGTCGAAAGCGAATGGATCGATGTACATTTGTAGAAATTGATTTTCTTGGTTCAGAAATATCATCGAAATATCAAATATCGTGACGTAGAATTTTTTAATTTCAAAAAAAAAAAAAAAAGAAGAAAAAAAAATAATACCAGAATTTTTCCTCACTCACTTTGCACATACAACTGGAATGATATAAATGCCTGAAGCCCTTCCGCTGTCTGCTCGTCACAAAACGCCAAGGCATCGCTATTCCACACGATGATATATGCGCCTTATCACCGTAAATCACGCGTCCGCTCACAACGTACGTTTCTCCAACTTTAAGCTGTGCTCCACACATGGAGTCCGAGGACGCGGTCCATAAAATATTTTTCCTCAGCGCGGGATACGTTGTCTTGTTCGCCTGTAATAATAGGGTGACGATAAACGTTTAAATCAAAACGCCGCAAAGCGATCGTGAAGAAAAATCGTCGGATGTACGAACCTTGAAGAATTTATTCACTTTCACGTTGTACGCAGTTTCGAATTCGTTCACGTTCGTCATCTTCTTCACTCTTACAAGAATGACTACGAAAGAAAGAAAGAAAGAGAAAAAGTAGAAGAAGAAGAAGAAGAAGAAGGAAGGAAGGAAGGAAGGAAGGAATAAAATTAACACATCAAATTTTTATTCCTTATACGTATATAACGTTCGAATCGAGGATAGAACGAAGAACGAAATAAAATAAAATAAAAAACGATATGATTTTGTTTCTCTCTGATAATAATAATAATTGGGAGGAAAAATATTTTCTAAATTTATGCGCAAAAGGTAATCGCAATTTTTTCTCGTTGTACAGAAATCACACGGACAAAGCAAAGATATACACGCATTTTACGCATTTTACTCCTTTCTAATGCGAAATTTCCTTACCGAAATCTGAATTGCAAAACAGCGTCTGAGGATGACTATTCATGCAAGAACAGGCGACGACCCTCCTCACTTGCGCCAATGATATCGCTACCACCAGCACGTAAATCCAAAACCTTAATCGCCACATCTGCGGACAAACAAACGAAACGATTAGAAAGTTGTACAAGTGAAATTTAAACAAAAGCGAGATCCATGATGATTCGAAATTTTATTATGTATGATAAATAAAACGCGATGCATCACGCCTCGAGGCACGTATCGAGCATGATAGAGATATGGAATCTGAATCGGAGTTAATGTTTGCCAGAGATAAAAGTGAAAGGTGGAAATTCATTACGCGATAAGGGGCGAGCTAATGAAACGAATCTCCAACACACGTAACACGACATTGTCAAACAGATAATAAACGAAGAATTCCTCGGGAGAGATGCCGCCCAACTTTCTCGCTCCATCTATCTTCCAAATCTGATTAACCGTATCCGAACGATCCGAGCCAGTTGTCAACCGTCCCAGAAACTTTTATAACTTTATTTATCCGCTATTCGACTCCGTTAAATCGAGGGGGGAGAAGAGGAGGGGGGAGAGTAATATACGCGATATTTCGTTTTCGACGCAACGAATGGAAACGAATCACGATTTTCTAAATGCCGATTCTACCCGATTCGCCCATCTAAATCTGGCATCTCGACAGCCCACCTGCGAATCTCGTTAATGTAAATTTATTCAATCCTCCTGGGGAGGGAGCAAGGATTGTAATTCGTGCACGAATTGAATCGATGCGCGAAATTCTGCGAAACCGATCGCGTATCAACAATTGTTTAACACTACGTCTCGAATAAGCAAGACACGATTTTGGACGGGAATAATAATAATAATAATAATAATCTGAGAATAAAATGATTAAGAAGGCCGGGATTCGTTGGATTCTCGTTGGAGAGGGAGAATGAACTCGTCGTTCTTCTTAGTTAGATACCTTTAGAGATATAATCTAAGAGAAAGAAATTTTCGAGAAGTATTCTTCCCCCGTGAAACGAATTGTGTCGCGAGAGTGAAAACTACTTTCAACGATCGTTCATTCTCTACTACTACTACGGTATATCCATTTGAGTAAGAAGAAATGATTCTCGAAAGTTTTACTCTCTAACATACATTTGCATATTATAGATGTTAAATTCAACGCGTTTAAAGAAACAGAAATGAAATGAAAATACGGGAGGAATAAATCAGTTTTCGTGAAATCCCATGAATTTCATTGATGGACACTCGACGTCAAGTATAATGGCAAAGAGTGATCTTTGAACCGATAATAAACATTATAGAAGCGCCCAGCTATTCGGCCTAGTTTATGGACGTCAGCTGGACCAGATCTAAACATAGACGTAAAATAGTATAACCGAAGTCGAACGCGGACCAAAAATGCCGCGAGCCGTTCTCACAGATCTTATTGACGATACGTTTCCTTGGACTGGCGAGAATAGACCCGGTGGACGCAGCTTAGAATCTAGGCATTCCTAACGGAACCGACCAGTTGCTGCAGAATTCCCTTCGGTAACTATACCGTGATTACCGTGGATCGATTCACTCCCGATCAACTTTCCAATAATTTCCATCCTGATTTTATCGTTCCCTCGTTATTCCAAGATTTACCGCTACTTTCTTCAAAATCATAAATAATAGGATTCTCGAGGAATATTAATTCCCCTTCTCCTTGTGAAAAAAAAAAATTAACCAAACTTTTAACAAAAGAGATTTTAATTTCTTGAGTAAGAGTAAGTATCGATTATTTTATGTCGAATAAAATAATTCTCGATGAAATGAAATATTATAATAGTATATTGAATATTAATTACAATTAAAAAGTAAAATTGTAATAAGATTAACGACAAGATAGAAAAATTTATAAAAGCATACGTACATTTTACATTGTGGTATAGTATGGACGAGGAGGAAATTAAAATATTTGCGCAAAAACGATATCAATGAACTTTTATCGTCTTCAATGGAATGCATTGAACGTGCAATGATCGTTAGCGTGCATGGAGCAGCGACAATGGCCAATCATGTACGTACGTACGTATAAGTAGCGAGTACATTACACTTGAAAACGATCGCTACCAGGCGTAATACTCGGCGATACTCTAAAATGCAAAGTGCATTTTATTCGCGAATAACGGACGAACTCGTAACACGTTTGATCAACGCGTTCGATATTTGTGGAATGTCGATTTTTTCACAGGATTTTTCAAGGGATAAAACGTTGACGCGCCATCAGAATATCGATCGCATCTTGCTGAATTTTTCAATTCAATTTTGATAGAACGCAATCCACGCGATCATCGTTTAACGCGAGCCATCCGTCCATGGATTTTACGCATCGTCATTGAATTCTTTTCGCGCGGTCAACGCGATAATGGATAAACTTTCGTTTCACGGTCGTTTCGAAAAATTTATCGATCGTTCGACAACGAGCTATCCTCTTCACTGGTGGTGTCGTGATGTCGGAATGAACGTCGAATAATAAAGGCAATTTGACTGAATTGAAGCACGTTGAAGCTTACGTTGGGGAGATCTAGTAAAAGGCTCGATGGTGTTTTTTTTTTTCTTTTTTTTCTTTTCCGGCTAGTAGATTCGATTTTATTCACGCTCGTATAACGTATTGTACAGTTTTATCACTCACGACGAGGGACCTGGATATTAGAGTATAATGACAAGGAGCAATTTTGCGTTTGACGGTCGTAAAACGCGTTTGATTATCGTAATTACGTAGGTAGTATTGGGTGTCTTAGAATTATTGCTATGAACTCGAGTGGTCGTACGATTTACGATAGAAATTTACGTAAAATTTATGATTGGATCTTTCTCTACATTGCATAATCCAATTCTTTATCTTATAAATTATTACCAAGAAAAAAAAAAAGGAAAAAAAAACAAACAAACATTAAATTAAATCAACTTCAAAACAATTATAGTATTCAATTATCAATATATACTTTCATATTTCTACATCAGAACAAGATTTTGGATTAAATGTTCCCTTATTTTATGATAAATTTGAACATTTATATATTCGGATAAGAATATCATAGATAACGCGAACAATCAATGATCGTTAATTATAGTCGAGCGTTGGAATCTTTCAAACACTTTTAAAAATAGCAATGACTCCATGAATAAATTGTTAGTAAGTTGATTACTTCGATCCATTAGTTTACAACCAATGGAAATATTGAAATACGTATATACGTATTTTTAAATTTAAAACCATTTTCCTTCCATTAAAAAAATTCACGGACACGCTCGATCACGGTTAAACAAACGGTGTCTGATCGAGCGCAAAGTGCATCGAAAAATAATGGCCACTTTATAATTACACGCGAACGGAGCCACAGTCGGCAGCGCCCACACCCAAAACGATGACACCGTCGCGTTGCAACCCGTCCGATTGCGCTTCATGCATCACCATGCAAAACGGATCGATCGGTCGACTGATGTCATAGAGGCATTATTTTTTATTTCCTGCCCGCAATAACAAACACACGGATCGACCATGAATGGAGTCTCCACGATCCTCCACGCCTCGTGTGACGCATCGCCGTGACGATTTGGTCCCACACGATTCGTCACACGAATCACGACTTATTTCGTCTCGAATCGAGTTGTGACGCCTCACATTCTGCTTGTCCCCGCGTAATTATTCCACCACTCGGAACCATATATCGCGTGTATCGTATTGCGTTTAATGTAGGTCACAATCTGGTGTGAAACGAATATATTGCTCGTCACGCATTGAGAATGGATTCGATTTCGTCTTGCTCCAATTGGAAGCAAAGTTTCCTTCTTACCAACGCGCTAATACATCGCGATCGTGGTTACAAGATTTAGCAATCTGATTTTCATTCACTGTGCGTGCATTTTCTTTAATCGACATTTTCTGAAAGATATTTTCCTCGGACGATAATTTACGAAAATTTACGAAATGTACACGCTTCGTTAATTCGTTAATCGAAGAAGATATTGCGTTCGAGCAGGTGAAAGGATTAACCATCAATCGAGTAAAATTAAAAAATCTTATTTGTCGCCTCGCGTTCGACACGGACGCTTCCTGAAATCGTGCTCGATCGTAAAGTATCGAAAGTTACGAGACGTGTATCGACTCTTTAAACAGTCGGGATTAAGACGTTTCGAGATTTAACGCGGCAAGACCAACAAGAGGGATATAAAAATTCATTCGAAGACGACCGAATATACGCTCGAAGGTTGAATTGTATTATTAATTCTTTTCTTTTCTTTATTTTTTTATTTATTTTTTTTTTTTTTCATTACGAACGCGCAATTGGACCAACGTTCAATGTACTAAGTAATTTACGATCGATAATTTCGAGTACGAGGATTTGCGATTGCACGGATGCAAATAAGTGTACAAGGCCGTGGCAATTAACCTTAAACTTCGAATAAAATTATACGGTGCGCCGGTTGAACGTAAATGAGAGTCGGCCCATGTTTGTACTCGTTACACCTCATACTTATGGTAATCTAACACGAGCATATAAGTGCGCATAAGTGTAATATTATAACTCTTCCGCAGTTTTATAGCGTCTAGTACAAGCGCGAGGATAAACCTCGAGACAAAACGTACGTGCATATACAGCGAGCTACGAATCGCTCGGAGGATTGCCATAACATGATGAAATTGCCGCGAACACGTGGTATAAATACCAATCGGCGAGCATACGATAATCACATTCACGTTTCTTTTCTCTCATTCACGCCTCGTTTACACCAACATCGAGACGATGGATGCAATTTGCAAAATCATGACCAACCAATCGAGTATAGTTCGACAACTCCACCGCGCTATCTGGCGGTGGATCTCGCTCGAAAAACCTCGAAAAGTCTCGAAACATCAAATACAAAATACCATTCTTCGTACCATTTTATTTCTATTCTATTCGACACGAAGATTTCCATCTTCTCCGGAAGAAATTTTCCAAAGCTCCAGATCTAAAAAATCCAAATCTAAAAATCGAAAAACAATACAAAACGCGAGCGCAAAAAGCCTTGCACAATCGTTGCACATCCAGTGTTAACAGCTATTGATTCAACCGATTTTCCTTATCTGGAGCATTA